AAAGTAATTGCAATTAAATTAAGTGCAATTAAACTATTAATTGCACATGCAAATTCATTTAATTGCAATTATTTTTTTGATAACAATTAACTTACTTATAAATAAAATAAATAATGCGGCACAGGGCTTTTTTTGTATAGTAAAAACCGTTATTTTCGTACGTGATTCATTTATCTATTAATATTTAGCTTAACTATTTTGCATTAGATATCAATAATAAGTTTTGAAAAGAGGTTTCATAGACCTTTAAAACGATGTATAACAATACATTGTTAGACTTAGCTTGTTGGGAGATTTCATCGGATAAATTTTAATGAGCCCTTATTTTTCTTAATTTTTGAACTTTGATCATGGCTAATTTCAAAAATGTCTATGAAAGTTGCCAAATATGTGGTATTTATCTAAAATAAAATTTATTTCCGAATAAATTGATACCTCATCCAATGCAATTGCCTACAAATTGTCGAAGTTAAGCAATTTAAGCAAAAATACGGCCTTGAATTTATATATGTATGTGTATGTACCGGACGTGCAGATTTTTCGAGAACTGTGGCTAAGGGGTTCATCTATATTTACTCAAAATTTATATATACAATGGCTCTTAAGCAAAAACATTGATTTTCATTGAATTTTTGGAAAATGGTCGTGGCACCGCCCACATATATCATATATGCGTATCTCAAAAACTGCTTGACCGATCTCCACCAAATTTGATATACACATTGAGCTTGGCCTCCTTAAGCACCGTGTTGATTTGCTTTTTCAAATCGGACAAACATTACTCGCCCTGAAATATAGCTAGCCTTGAGTTTTTTGAAATTACTGATATGTGGGCGGAGCACGTGGTTTTTGTTTTTTTATCAAAGACCATATGGTCCTTTAAAGTACAAAACCGCGTATTGCATTCTGCAAAACCGCGTAACTGACATTTTCTGCCAAAAACTGGATTTGCTCTCACAAGCACTTGGCTTAATCCTTTAAATCCACAAACTTTCGTAAAAATTTGGAACTTTTAAATTCTATTTTTTTTTTTTTTTTAATATTTGGAGTATCCATTCAATTTAAGTAGAATAAAGTGCCATTTTTGGCATTTTTTTTTCGTTGACAGTCGGTAATTTTCTTCTATACGAAGTAATACCACCTTTCTACAAAACCATTTGCTGCCGGGTGGTTTGCTGTCGTGCGAATTCTTTCCCCGCCAACTAAACGCAACAGGGATGTGAAGAGCGCGCTCTCGAATTGAGTGCCCTAACCGGTCGTAAGAAGCTTGGGGCTAACGAAACATGCTATCCAGTACGAATAGAACACGTTGGCAACTCTGCCGTACTGATTCAAAATGTGGGTATCTGCATTCGTAGTCAAACCGAGAAATCAAACAAAACGCGTTTGTACTTGGTCTATCCAATGTATGTTTTTTGTTGTTCTTAATTGCCACTGTGACCGCCTAAGCGATTTTAGCCGAGTTCAACAAAGCACGCCAATCGTTCCTCTTCTGTGCCAACTGACGCCAATTGGAAACGCCAAGTGAAGCCAAGTCCTTCTTGTTGTTGTCGGATGTTGTCATTGTACATGCTTCTGCGCCATATACCAGCACGGGCATGATGAGTGACTTATAGAGTGTGGATTTCGTACGTCGAGACAGGACTTTACTCCTGAATTGCCTACTCAGACCAAAGTAGCACTTGTTGGCAAGAGTGATTCTGCGTTGGACTTCGATGCTGACATTATTATCGGTATTAATGCTGGTTTACAAGTAAACGAAATTCTCCACTTTCTGGAAATTTAAACTGTCAACAGTGACGTAGGAGCCAAGGCGCGAATGTGCTGACTGTTTGTTTAATGACAGGAGATACTTCGTCTTGTCCTCGTTTACCACCAGACCCATTCGCTTTGCTTCCTTATGTAGACTCCGTCATTATCGACTGGGGTCTCGGGATCTTCTTCTCCACAACTTTCCGTGCTGCTACCATTCAGTAGGGTGGAAAAGTGTTCCCTCCATAATTTAAGCACGTTATGAACATCGGTAACTAGGTCGCCCTTGTTGTTCTTACAGGAATACGCCCTGGACTTGAATACTTCCGTAAGTAGCCTAACACTCTGGTAAAATTTTCGGGCATTCTTCCTGTCGGTCAACATTTCAAGCTCTTCGCACTCACGTATTTCGACATGTCTATTCTTATTTATTTATTTATTTATTTATTTATTTTTACAGTCTGTTAGACTTATATTGCAACAAAGATTTAACATTCTTATAACTAGATTTTAGATTTAAAATGTAAATATTAAATATTAAATACAAAATACAAAATGCTCTACAGAAATTTTTAAATAACATTATTTCTTTATCACTGCAATTATTTTATGTCAATATAAACGCATGCAATTTCCTGGAAGTTATGTAGACGGTTGGAAAGGCCGAGTTTCCAATCCGCTCTTTTCTTTTGGGTTACTCCATTTATTGATATCTCCTGGGTGGTCAGAAAGGCCGAGTTTCCGATCCACCCAGTCGCGCTTTCGTGACGGTTGACGGTTGGAAAGGCCTAGTTTCCAATCCGCTCGTTTATTGTTTATTATCTAAGGGTCTAGGTAGTCGGAAAGGCCGAGTTTCCGATCCGCCTAGTCTCGATATCTTGGTGGTTGGAAAGGCCTAGTTTCCAATCCACGCTATTGTTGATACATCACTATCTTGTAGGCTGTGTTCTACAATAGTCAAATAGCAGCCGCTTGAAAAGAGTGATAGTATCACAATTTTTTATAGCCTCTGGTAATTCATTGAAGCACTTTAAGCCTTTATAGAAAATATTTTTTTTGTCCACTTCTGTTCTATACTTCGGGAGTCTGAAGCTGTTATTCTCTCTCAACAAATATGTATGCGTCTCATTTATATATCGGAGATTATCGCTAAGATAATCCGGCAGGTTGCGCTTTTTAATATTGTACACAAATTTCATAGCGTGGTAAAAAACTTGTTGCTTCACGCTTAACCAATTCAAGGTTTCAAGCATACATCTTGTTGGTGTGTCATACGGTTTGTTGAGGATGAATCTCATCGCTCGGTTTTGCATTTTTTGCAGCTTATCTACATGGGAGTCCCCCGCTAGGAAGAAAATCGTGGGGCAGTATATAAAGTGCGGTTCTACTATTGACCTGTACACCAACGTTTTATATCTTCTTCCCAAGTACTTACACGATCTCTTTATAAGGCCAATTTTTTTAGCAATCTTGTTGACTGTATACTCAACGTGCTCATCAAACTTTAGTTTGTTGTCTATATATATTCCTAGGTACTTGACAATTTTCACCTCTTCGATATTTTCATCTTTGATTTTTAATTCACGGCTTATGGAGTCAGCATTTGCCGCTCTGGAAAATATCATAAAGTTAGTCTTTTTCACATTCAGTTTGAGTTTATTTGAACACAGCCATTGATACAAAGAATTAAGATCTTCTTGCATTTTGACAATCGCATTTGGTAGTTCCCTATCACTGATCGTTAACAAGGCATCATCCGCAAAGAGTTTTATTTTACAATGTTTGAGAGAACTTTTAATATCGTTTATATATATATTAAAGAGTAGGGGTACCAAAACTGAGCCCTGTGGTAATCCGATGTCTACGGCTATCTTACTAGACATCTTAGAATTAACTATTGTTTGTTGCCTACGATTAAATAGAAAGCTTCTAAACCAGGCAAGCTCAGAGTTTTTTATACCAATGTATTTTAGTTTATCCAACATTCGGACCCTATCAACGGTTTCAAATGCTCTTTTAAGATCAATAAACACTGCCACTACATTAAGGTGTCTGTTCAGATCTTCTTTCCATTGAGAAAGCACCAGATTCAGCGCAGTCTCACAGGAATGTTTAGCTCTGAATCCAGATTGTTCTTTTATGAGTATTTTATTGGATTCCACATAGTACTGTAGCTGGTTTTTCACAACGGTTTCTAGCATTTTTTCCAAGCTAGGGAGAGTATTGATGGGCCTAAGCTCCTCAGCTTTAACCGTTTTTCTAACTTTCTTGACGGGCACTATTGATGAAATTTTCCATTCTTCCGGTACTGATCCTGTCTGGAGACTCTTATTTATAAGTAGGGCATAGAAATATCCCATATAATCAGCAGAGTCCTTAATAACACCTTCAGAAAGCAGGTTGTTTCCCCCAATTTTCCGCTTAAATTTTTTGGCAATTTGAAGAATGTCTTCCGTTGAGACCTCTTCAAATTTTAGCGTACTTGTGGGAGCTCGTTGCTCGAAAAAATCATAGTTTACACACTCTATATTGGTATGTATTTCCAAAATGCTGTCCACGAAAAAATTATTTAGGTTTTCCGCAATTTCAAAGCTGTCTACGTAGTTGGTGTTATTTATTATCACTTCCCCAATATTTTCTTTGACCTCCGTGTTATTGACTACCTCCTTTAAGTATTTCCACATGAGTCGGCTGTCACCCTTATTTATTTCCACCTTATGCTCTAAGTATTTAATTTTTTTACACCTTACCATTTTCTTATATCTGCTTCTCACTAAATTATATTCACCCCAGTACCCTGACAACACTGCTTTCTCATGGGATTTAGATTTATACTTGTTCATCTCTGTCAATTGCCTATCATACCATTTGTTCCTCTGCCTAATGCGAGTTATTTTTGAGTAAGTCAACTGCCTCATGGCCCACATAATGCA